TACGTCCATGATGCATGCGGCTGCCCCCCATTTTCTGTGGCCGTTTGCGGTTCGGTACGCGGCGCATCAGATCAACCTTCAGCCAAGGGTCTCCATGCCGGAGACCTCCCCAGCTTTGCTGTGGACGGGGAAGGTTGGCGATGCGTCTGCGTTCCGTGTCTAGGGATCTCGGGCGTTTGTCCGCGACTTGTCTGCGGACAAGCTGTCCCCTCGTGCTGCTCCTTGCGTCTTCCTGGGTTTCCCCCCTGACGCCCCAGGGTGGCAGTTCTACCACCCCACCTCTCGCCGTGTTCTGTCCTCCCAGGACGTCACGTTCGACGAGTCGGTCCCCTACTACCGCCTCTTCCCCTACCGCACTCCGTCCCTCCCCCCGCCACCGCTCTTCCTTGTACCAGGTCCCCCCCCGGTAGACCCCCTCCCCCCTCAGGGTCCTGCCCCTTCAGGTGTGTCCCAGGTAGACGCTGTTGAGCCTGTCGAGGTCGCTGGTGACTCTGGTGCTGCTGAGGGTGCTGAGCCTGGGGGTGCTGACTCTAGGGGTGCTGAGCGTGTGGGTGCTACGCCTGGGGGTGCTGAGCCTGGGGGTGCTGAGCCTGGGGGTGCTGAGTCTGGGGGTACTACGACTGGGGGTGCTGAGCCTGGGGGTACTACGCCTGGAGGTGCTGAGCCTGGGGGTGCTGCGTCTGGGGGTGCTGAGCCTGGGGGTACTACGCCTGGAGGTGCTGAGCCTGGGGGTGCTACGCCTGGTGGTGCTGTGCCTGGCGGTTCACCGGGTGCTCCCTCTCGCCGAGAGCCACTCTCTCCCCAGGAGCTGCGTGAGTGGTTTGCCCGGCGCTGGAGGCGAGCTGCTGGAGCTGCTGGAGCTGGAGGTGCTGCGGGTACTGGAGGTTCTGTTGCTTCTGAGGGAGCTGGTGCCACGGGTCCCGGAGGTGCTCGTACTGGGAGTTCTGGAGCTGCTGGACCTGCGGGTACTTCTGGAGCTGGAGTTGCTGCGGGTGTTGGCGCGGAGGCTACTGCTGTCGGTCCTGGAGGCAGTCCTGCTGGGGGTACTACTGGTGCTGCTGGGGGTTCTGGAGCTGGAGCTGCTACTGGTGCTGGTGCTGCCCCTGCGGGTGCTGGTGCTGTCCCTCCTGTGTCTGGAGTCGCCGCGCGGCCTCGGCCGTACTTCGTTCCGCTCCTTCAGCAGGTTCTTGGTCTCCCGCCTTCTACTGGTCCTCCTCCTCCCTTAGAGTGTCCACAGCCTGTCCCGTCGCAGTTAAAGTTACAGCCGGCCTCCCCACTGCCTGCTCCGTCTCCCTACACTGGTCCTACTGGAGGTCTTGCTGAGCGTCGTGAGCCTGCGTCTCGCCCTGCGTCGCCTGTCCGTGCTGCTCGCACTAGTGGTCGCGGTTCGCGTCAGCGTCCTCCTCCTGTCCCTGGCACGCACCGGATGTCTCTGCGTCCGTCCACTGCTCCTCTGCGTGCCCCTTTGCCTTCTCCTCCTGAGTCTTCTCTTCCTACTCTTGCCGACCCGGAGTCGGACTCTCTTCGCGCTGCCAGTCCTACTGTCACGCGTCTCCTTGCTACGGTTGTCACTGACCCTTCCTTTGAGTCCACTGCTGCGTCTGCTCTAGTTGCTGAGCTCGTCGACTTTGCTGCTCGCTGTCGCCCAGACTACGTCGCCAGTCTTGTTGCTGAGTCTGAGTCTGTCTGTCCTCCGTCCGTCGGGGGTGAGTGTGCCCTTGGCACGGACGTCCTTGAGGACAGGCAGGAGGAGTTCCAGTGCTTGGCCGCTGCTTCACCTCATCTCGTGTCCGTACTGCTTACCCCTGAGGGAGACCCGGATGCACTTGACATCCCGACTCCGCGCTCTTACGCGGAGGCGATAGAGGGTCCCTACTCCTCTCAGTGGCAGGCAGCTATGGACGCAGAGATGGCTTCCTGGAAGTCCACAGGCACCTACGTTGACGCTGTTCCCCCTCCTGGGGCGAACATCGTCAGTGGCATGTGGATTTTCAGGGTGAAGCGACCGCCGGGTTCTCCGCCTGTCTTCAAGGCGCGTTACGTGGCTCGTGGCTTCAGTCAGCGGCAGGGAGTTGACTACTTTCAGACCTTCTCTCCCACCCCGAAGATGACCACTCTTCGGGTACTGCTGCACGTAGCTGCTCACCGTGACTACGAGCTACACTCTCTTGACTTCAGCACTGCTTTCTTGCAGGGCAGCCTGCACGAGGAGATCTGGCTGCGTCGCCCACCTGGCTTCACTGGGTCTTTTCCTCCTGGCACCCAGTGGAGCCTACGGCGGCCAGTCTACGGTCTCCGCCAGGCACCGCGTGAGTGGCACGACACACTGAGGACTACACTTGCGGCTCTTGGGTTTGCTCCCTCTACTGCCGACCCGTCGCTGTTTCTGCGCACCGACACTTCTTTGCCGCCGTTCTACATCCTCGTGTACGTCGACGACTTGGTCTTTGCCACAGCTGACACTGCTGGACTAGCCCACGTGAAGTCCGAGCTGCAGAAGAGACACACGTGCACTGACCTGGGTGAACTGCGCAGCTACCTTGGCTTGCAGATCACTCGGGACAGAGCACGCCGCACCATTACCCTGACTCAGTCACACATGGTGCAGCAGGTCCTTCAGCGCTTCGGCTTCACGTACTCCTCGCCTCAGGCCACTCCTCTGCCTACTCGCCACTCGCTCTCAGCTCTGCCTTCGGATGAGTCCGTAGAGTCGAGTGGCCCGTACCCAGAGCTTGTTGGCTGCCTCATGTACCTGATGACCTGCACACGACCTGACCTTGCATACCCTCTTAGCATTCTTGCACGCTATGTTGCTCCTGGGAGACACAGACCGGAGCACATGGCTGCAGCGAAGAGGGTGTTGCGCTACTTGTGCAGTACGTCGGGCATGGGGCTTGTGCTTGGAGGGCAGAGTCCAGTGGTCCTTACTGGGCACGCAGACGCTTCTTGGGCTGACGACCAGGCTACGCAGCGGTCGTCACAGGGTTACACCTTCAGCCTTGGTTCCGGCTCTGTTTCGTGGCGGGCTACTCGCTCGTCTTCTGTTCTCGGCTCCAGTTGTGAGGCTGAGATCTACGCAGGAGCCATGGCTGCACAGGAGCTTCGCTGGCTCACCTACCTGCTGACTGACCTCGGAGAGTTGCCTCGTTCTCCTCCAGTGCTGTACGTAGACAACAAGGCCATGCTGGCCTTGTGTCGGGAGCAGCGACTGGAGCACAGAACGAAGCACATTGCTCTCCGCTACTTTCTTGCTCGTGAGCTGCAGCAGCGTGGTCAGCTGCGTCTTGCGTACGTGGCCTCTGAGGCCAACACTGCTGATATCTTCACCAAGGCACTTGCGCCTTGTGACCATCAGCGCTTCTGTACTCAGCTGGGCCTTGTGCCTACCTTGCGTCACTTGCTCACCTCTTGACCTTGCTTGTACTGTTACATATATATATACCTGCTCTTGTTTGTCTAGCCTTTTTTTATATATATGTGTACTCCTGCTTGTGAACTGGCCTTGTGGCCTTGAACTTGTGCTCGGAATGTGTGGTGACTTTGTGATCCACCCTGAGCTTGTTTTTTGCTTTGCTTTGCTTGACTGGTCTTGTGACCCCTTGTTCTCCCCCACTTTGCCTATGGGGGTGTGTCAGATTTATATGACATAGCTACTGTAGGCTAGAGTGGGGTAGCACATATGGGGTACAGTTTTCTAGGGTTTGCTTCTTGTACCCAACTTTCACTTAGTCATTCTCATTCCTGTTTTTCTTAATTCACAAGTTGTGCGCGCATTACTCGTTCGTGCACAAAAACACTGAACTGGCTGTACGCTGGAAACATTCCACGACCTTAGTTACACAGCCAGGGCCTCTGAAGTCAGCGAAAAAAGGCTGATTTAGATGAAAAAGGCTGAGATTTCAGACCTTTTTTTGGAACAGAGGCTGATTTTCCAGCATTTTTTTTGAAAAGAAACAGGAAATTTTAATAAATTTGTATTGTAAAATGGCATAAAATGGCTGATTTGTCTGATTTTCAGCAAAACGCTTTGTACCAACTCTGATTTTTCAGCCTAGGCCAAAACGAATCTGAGACCCTGTACACAGCCTAACATTTATGAGGGTCCTACATTTTTTATAATGAGTTGTATCATCACCGACTGCGCAGTGCATCCATTCTAGTCAAACTTGATCCCGTATACTTCAGCAAAACTGACTATCAAACAAGCGTGCTTGACTGAATTTGCAAAGGGCACACGTGGCTTACCCCACGTGCCTCTACACATTTGTCAACAGCTCCGATTTGTAGTACCGAGATACCCCAGATGGAGGCGCACCTGCGCTTATACCGTACGGTAGAAAACGCTTTCCGTAATTTTACGTAACACCAATTTGCTTCCATTCAATTCAACTCATTAGTACCGTAAGCTCCCGGATATAAGACCCCCCGGAATACAAGACCCCCGGGTCTGTAATACGGGGGTGGGTCTTTTATTTTGGCAGGTTTTCACTATACCCCCCTCTAGAGGGGTAAACATTACAAGACCCCCCCTAAACTTGTGCACTAGTGTTTTTAAAGGCATTTTGATGCATTTTCATGTGTTTTTTTAGAATGATAAGGGTGTGAACACAGATTCAGGCCTACTAATCCCACACTGGGTTGACTGTTCATGAAAACAGTAGCAATATGGGGGGGAAAAACAGCCAGATTTCAATGTTATGGGCACAGCCAGATTTCAATTAGGAGGTCACAACCAGATTTCATTGTGATGTACCTATATCGCGAATACTCACATCCGCGGACCTATCGAGGATAAAAACAAAATAGCAAGCATCCAGAACAATGGGGCATTTGAATACACATTTAAAATACACGTCCATATCATAAGACCCGGGTACTAGACAATCTTTACCCTTTAACAAGACCCCCCCCATTTTTTTTATGAATTTTACATAAGACCCTAGGGTCTTATATCCGGGAGCTTACGGTACTATTCAACTCCTCTTGCGCCTCTTGCCGTATCAGCAAGCCGCCGCAGTCTCCTCCATTAGCTCTCTCGCAATCTCCTCAAACTGCATGCTAGCATCCTCCTCCACTCGCTGTGAAAGCTCCTCAAACCGCGAGTGAGCATCCACTAGCAACTCCCAAATGAGTTCATCTCACTCATATAGCAGCATTTACCTCCTCTTCCGCTTCTTGTGATCGCGGCAAGCCGTCGCACACTCTCCCATCAACTCTCTCGCAATCTCCTCAAACTGACCAGAAGCATCCTGTGCCAGTTTCTGAGAAAGCTCCTCAAACCGCGTGTACGCATCATGCAGCAACTCCCGAGTGAGCTCATCAAACTGAATGCACGCGTTTCTCACCGCAGCACCCATCGCTGCAGTCAACCTCTCGCCCAACCTCTCGCCCCGCCTCTCGCCCCACCTCTCGCCCGAAACCCCTGCGCTCGAATCCTTTCCACCTCCTGTGAATCCCTCTGCTCCCATCCTTGCAGATCTCCTCTCATTCCGCTCTCGCTGCTCCCTCCTACCATCCCTATCTTTCTGCTCCCTCCTACCATTGCTTTCACGCAGTGAGACACCCCCAGAAGTCAAATCATCCGCTGGTGCTTCTGCACCTTGTCTGTGGGTTGATGCCGGTTCATAACTCGCCGAGTGAAAATTTGCAGCAGGAAGTGGGGCTGTGGCAGGAAGGGGGGCTGTAGCGGGCAGGGGGGGTGTAGCAGGCAGGGGGGATGTAGCGCCAGCAGCAAACGTAACCCTGTTACCAGGCACGCGCAACATGCTGTTGCCTGATGCACCATATCCCCTTGCCTGATGCGTCGAGTCCCCACGTCCTTGCGTCGAGTCAGTGTATTTTCGCATGATGTCATGAATCGGATCTGTAGCGGTGGGAGCAGGAATAGGCGCGACTTTGTTACGCAGGCTCTGCAAATAGTTGTCAGAGGGTTGCCTAGAGTCAGAGGGTTGCCTTGAGTCAGAGGGTTGCCTTGATTCAGAGGGTTGCCTCTGCCTCTCAGCAGGTGCAAAAGGAGAGACAGTGGGTGGCACTGCTGCTGGTAAAGGGAGAAGCGCGAAGGGTGAAGAGAACGGCAGAAACGGGAACTGGAACGGTGATGGGAACGGGAACGGGAATGGTGATGGTGATGGTAATAGTAATGGCCCGTTGTATCCCTGCTGTTGCTGCTGCTGCTGTTGCTGCTGCTGCTGTTGTTGCTGCTGCTGTTGCTGCTGCTGCTGCTGTTGTTGCTGCTGTTGCTGCTGCTGCTGTTGCTGCTGGTGTTGCGGCTGTTGCTGCTGATTCTGTTGTTGCGGCTGTTGCTGATGTTGTTGCTGTTGTTGCTGCTGTTGCTGCTGCTGCTGCCCCTGCTGCCCCTGCTGCCCCTGCTGCCCCTGCTGCTGCCCCTGCTGCCCCTGCTGCCCCTGCTGCCCCTGCTGCCCCTGCTGCCCCTGCTGCCCCTGCTGCCCCTGCTGCCCCTGCTGCCCCTGCTGCCCCTGCTGCCCCTGCTGCCCCTGCTGCCCCTGCTGCCCCTGCTGCCCCTGCTGCCCCTGCTGCCCCTGCTGCCCCTGCTGCCCCTGCTGCTGCTGCTGCTGCTGCTGCTGCTGCTGCTGCTGCTGCTGCTGCTGCTGCTGCTGCTGCTGCTGCTGCTGCTGCTGCTGCTGCTGCTCCTGCTCCTGTTGCTGCTGCTGCTGCTGCTGCTGCTGCTCCTGCCGTTGCCTAACAGACTCTCCCCACCCTGAACCAATGCTCTTAGGGAACGCATAAGCCGGCATTTCAGCCGGCTGCTTCCTTGCCGTAAACACCTTAGCAGCAGCAGCAGCAGCAGCAGCAGACACTCTACCTGCTCTTCTAGCCTTTTTGGCTGCCACGCATTTCCTCGCCTGAAGCTCAGTTTCATAGAACAGTCGAATGTACTCAAACCATGCTGGTTCTGCCCCCGGCCCCCATGCTGGTTTTGTCCCAATCCACCATCCCCCCTTGGGCCTTCCCCTCACCTTTGCCTTCGCCCCTGTGTTCCCCCCTGACTCGTCATTAAGTTGCTCATCCGCGTTAGTAGACCCTCCCTGCCGCTGCTCAACTGAGCCCCCCCCCGCCTGCTGCTCCGCGCCCCCCGGCGGCCTCCCCTTCGCGGGGCACCGCCCCGTCCCCCCCGGCTTCCGCCGCCGCCGCTTCCGCCGCGGGTCGTGCGTCTCCGCGTCGTATCGCGCTTTCATGCGCACCCACTGCTTCGCCATCGCTGTCGGGATGCGCCGCCATTCGGGGTTCCCACGCCGGATCGCGCGCCACACCTGCCGCCAGTATATGTCCCCCCTACCGCCGCTCCGTATCGTGACTTCCCCGCTGTGCCGGCAGAAAACGACAGCCGCTGCGAGCTCCATCAGCTCCGCATCGCTCCACTGACTCATCTTCCGCGCCGCGAGCTCCGCCAATTCCTCTCCTTCCTTCTCGCCTTCTTGAAGTTCGTACCAAGGGACCTCGAGGCCACCCGGTTGCACCACGCGACCCGGTTCCTCCACGCGTCCCGTTTCGGCCTCTGCATCCGTTTCTCTGTCTCGATCCGTTTCCCTGTTTCGATCCGTTTCCCTGTTTCGATCCGCTTCCCTGTCTCGAAACAACTCTTCCGTTGAGTCATACGGCCTTCCGAACCGCTCTCTGAGGTGGTACTCGTCGATATCGTACGAGTCGTCCGACTCGCCGTCGTTTTCGGCATCGCTTTCGCCATCGTCGTCGCCGTCGCCGAAGTCGTCGCTGAAGTCGTCACCAAAGTCGTCGTTGAAGTCGTCGTCGTGGCTTTCGATGTTTTCGTCGGCGTCGCAGCGGGTTAACGCGGCAGCGTGATGCTCCTTAATCCACCGAACGAACGGAGGATCGGGTCGTACAATCGTCGCCCAATCGACTTCCGTGCCCGCCTGGCCTGGTAACCCGTTACCTGAACGATTCCTAGACGCCATAATAATTCTGGAGAGAGGATATCACCAAGCAGCGACCGGAAAGCTGCGCAACCAGGACGCGTTCAGAATTTGTTCAAAGCTGGCCCTAGACCAGAAAAGCCCCTAGGTGTTGTCCGTACAGGGAAAACCAGTCAGGGAGCTCCAGCTAGGAACGACGCGAGACTGTTCCATGTCTGTCCTAACCTCGATATCACGGTTAGGACAGACCTAGAATTAGGGAAAACCAGTCAGGGAGTTCCAGCTGGACTCTAGTCTGTCCTACCTGTGACAGTAATGAAGACTGATTGGCAGAAACGCCTTGGGAATACACCATGGTGGCAGGATATCTCTACAAGCGCCTTGAGAACTGATCGTTCAATACATCACACTTGGTAGCGTCGGTAGCGCTCGGTAGCGCTACCGTTTCGCTAGACCACGCTACCGAGTGAGTCAGCATTCTGACCGCGGGCAGAAAAAACTAAAACCCATTCGGACCTGCATGCCATTCGGGAGCCTCAACCCTAAAAATTTAGGGTTGATGCTCCCGAATGGCATGCCTTCCGATGGGGGTTTATTGTTTTTTCTTGCCCGCTGACTCATTGCACTGCCTGCTGACGCAGGCAGTGCAATATATTACCCAGTGCTGTCCGTTTTCGCCTGTCCAAGAAACGGCATGTCGCGAATTTCGGTGACCAAACATTGGGATTGCTCGCCGGACAGAACCCGGCCTAGTGTTGAGAATTGTAAGGACGCGGTTCAAGTGTCGCTCGATAGCCAAAATCAATCCGCCACGGCACTAAATTCATGCAACTTACAGAAATTTTTTAACCCTAGAAAATAGCGCCCATGGAGATAGATCAACGCACCACGTCCTTTGCGAGAGTATTTATTGGGTCTTTGAGTTGATTGCGCACTGTTACTGAAACTACACGCCAAAAGCGCAGCACTCTCGCTTCTGGCGCAGTGTTTCAACCCATTTGTCGCTTAGGGCGCAGAGTTAGCGCGCTTTCAACGCAATAAAATGTTCACTTGTCACGTTGTCGACGGACCGACAACTCCGCTTGGATTGACGGCAATCGAACTGTTTGCACCCAATTTTTGGGCAGACAAATATCTAATACCCTCTCATATGACACGTTTTTAGGGAGTCATCAACCCTAAACACCAAGTGAAAGTGTCCTTCGCGTTGGGTTCTATGATTTATGGCATGCCATCGAGAGAGGCATCAACCCTAAACACCATACGGGGGGGGGGGGGGGGTGTTCAAAGCGCATGGCAACATTTGAAAGATTTTTCCAGTTGACTAGATTGAAGAAAACCTTGAGGTCAGTCATCACCATTATTTTTCTTTTTAATTTGTCGAAAAGATTCTTGCGGTGCGAAGTTGGTCAACGCGTTTGTTGGCATGTAGCATCAGATAGCGGGACTTCGTGGGAAACCAGTTAAGCGCGGCATTTTATATATATATATATATATTAACATGTGTTTTTAGAACATTGTTGGTGCTGCAAAGGTTTACGAGATAGGAGCGAATGATTCTTTTTTATTTTTGCAAGTAGTCCTTTAGCTTCTGTAGATCCTTGCGTTCGGTCAGTCAGTCAAGACTGTCATAGTACTATCGATTGCGCTCCTTGTTCAAGTTGGATAAAAACAAATATGGGGTCGTTGATGTGGCAATCCATCGATAAGTAAAGTATTTCCACTATGTCATCATATAAACCCACCAGTTTATGTAAGTCATTTGGCTAGTCGGTTGCCTCTGCTTCTTTACTCTCAACATCGTACACTTCAACTCTAGCCACTACGGCATGATTCATTGTAATGGCACTGACATGGACCAACGAAGACTGGGCGAGCTTCAGAGAGGTAGGGCGATGAAGTTGCCGTTGAATCGCATGGTGCAGCCACACATCATTTAGTCAATTTGGCGGCTGTCTTGCCATAGTCAAATATGTCCGAGTAAGTGTCGGTTCCGTCGAGTGTCGTCATTGATATTTCCTGGGTAAACACGATACTCTTATTGCAACTAAAACCATATCTCCATACGGTCTTGTATTGCAAGCAGTCTGCAGTGCTCTAGGAGTGCATTAATTGTAGAGAGTCACTCTACAACGGGAGTAGATTGCTTGGGGGGTTACAGGTTGTTAGGGTAATCGTAGCATTGCCTAACGCTTGTGCAAGTTCTTGTGTATCCGTGGGGAGAGTTGACAAGAGTTTCACTAAGAATAGAGAATACAAAAAGTACAATGGCATGGCAAAGTCGATATATTAGAATGCATGCAAACACAAGAAGCAACCTTGCAAGGCGACTCTCCAGCGCAGCACGAAGGCGGCTTGCCAACGCAGCTGGAAGGTGGCGAGCTAACGCTATAGCAAGGTGGCATGCTAGCATTGCACCAATGCGGCCTGCCAGCACTGCAGCCGCAGATGAACATGTGCGCATGTGTGCGTTATTTTACTAAGTTGGTGCATGTGTGCTCAACATACGGTTGCGTGCATGTCGTGCACGTGATGCACATTGCGTAGGCGCCATGTTGTTGAGCATATGATGCTCATCCCGCAGGTTGATTTTCGCCACTTCATCGCCCCATAATGTTTGGTCGACCAGAAAGAGGCCACTCAGCCCGACGCTGACGATCGACGGTCGGTCGACGCCAGTAGGTTGGCGCCATGTCGATGATCACGCTCGTTGACCGCCAAGGTGCATCGCCGGCCGCCGAATTCACTTCGTCAGCCCGCGTCTCGTCTTTGCCATGGTCAGCTGTCAAACTGTTATATTGTTTAGGTTGTATAGGCTGTAATGGGTACAACCCAAATAGGGTTAGTACTCGTACCCACTTTGTTTCTAACTCGTTCAGTATTCTTGACATGGTTTCAGAGCAGGTCCTGTTCCAGGACCGTTTTTTTTTTAGGGCCCACCTAATAGTTCCCTGCCCGTAGCGTGTTACCCTGCTCGTAGCGCCCTACTCTGCCCGCCGCGCTGCCCCACCAGTTCGCATTTCCCTGCCCTGCCCGTCGCGCCGCCCTGCTGGCAGCACGCTGCCCTGTTCTACCCGTCGCGCTGCCCTGCTAGCGCCGCACCGCCCTGCCCTGCTCGCGCGCCGCCCTGCTGGCCGTCGCCCCGCCCTGCCCTGCCCGCGCGCCGGTCGCCGCCGCGCCGCCCTGCCCTGTCCGCGCGCCGCTCGCCGCGGCGCCTCCCTGCCCTGCCAGCGCGCCGCTCGCCGCCGCGCCGCCCTGCCCTGCCCGCGCGCCGCTCGCCGCCGCGCCGCCCTGCCCTGCTCGCGCGCCGCTCGCCGCCGCTCCACCCTGCCCTGCCCGCGCGCCGCTCGCCGCCGCGCCGCCCTGCCCTGCCCGCGCGCCGCCCTGCTGGCCGCCGCATCGCCCGGCCCTGCACGCGCACCGCCATTCTGACCGCCGCCCTGCCCTGCCCTGCCTGCGTGCTGCCCTGCTGCTCGCGCGCCACCCTGCTCTGCCCACTATGGCTACTCTCAGCGTCCTCACATTCGATCCTGAGGGCCGTCCGATTGAGTTCGATGCGTGGCTCGATGACTTACAGCTGTACCTACTGAGCGATTCTAGAGACGGCGTTTCGTTGTTTGACCTCACGTCTGGAGCCTCTCTCGCCCCTCCCGACACAGCTGACAGTGCGACTCGCTCACAGTGGCTTACCCGTGACGATGCTGCTCGCCTAGCCGTTCGCAACCACTTGCCGTTAGCTGAACGCGCTCACTTTGGCCAGCACAAGACTGCTAGAGCCCTGTACGACGCTGTAGTCGCTCGTTACTCCTCCCCTACCACTGCTGCTCTAGGCCGCCTTATACTGCCCTACCATTTTCCCGAGCTGTCCGCCTTTGCCATAGTCGCCGACCTCATTACCCACCTTCGCACTAGTGACACTCGCTACCGCGCCGCGCTACCAACCAAGAACCCCCCCCCCATGTACATCACTCTCTACTTCATCGTCACCTGCCTCCCTGACTCTCTTAGCGCAGTCAGGGACCTCCTTCTCGCCCTTGACCCCACAGACCTCACTGTCGACCTACTCGAGAAGCACCTCCTTGCAGCTGAGACTAGCATAGTCGCTGTAGGCGCTTCTCGTGGCACTCCTCGCACTCCCTTATTTGAGGGGTGTTCCCCCTCCCCCCTTGTCCCCTCTGTCGCTTCTGCTGCTGCTGCTGACTTCCTTCGCACTGAGGAGGTCGGGGCTGCGTCTGCTCCTAGTGGGAGGCGCCGCATCGGTAGGGGCAAGGGAGGCAAGGGTGGTGGGGGTGGCAGCGGTGGAGGCGGTGGTGGGGGCGGTGGAGGCGGTGGAGGTGGCGGTGGTGGCGGAGGGAGTGGTGGTGGGAGTGGAGGCGTTGGAGGCGGCGGTGGTGGCGGCAGTGGGAGTGGTGGCGGCGGCAGTGGTGGCGGCAGTGGGAGTGGTGACGGCGGTAGTGGTGGCGATCGGGGTGGAGCCGGTCAGAGGGGCGGTTCTGGTGGTGGTCAGAGGCAGCAGCAGCAGCGTCAGCGTGAGACCCCTACGCCCCAGGAGCTTCGTGAGTGGTTTGCTCAGCGTGGGGCGTCTGGGGGTAGTGTTCGCTGCCAGTACGTCATTCGCACAGGTGACCGCGCTGGTCAGACATGCGGGAAGGTTGGTCACACCCATTCCTGCTGCTTCTCCCGTCTTGACGACGCCTGGCGCGCAGAGTTTCCCGACGCGACTGAGCTCCCCCGCTGGCTAGAGCTGCTTAGGCAGGGTGTTGATATCTTTGCTCTTGACTATGATGCTATCCTTGCTGCCATGTATGCATTGACTGTTAGTGCTGAGGGTGACTGTTACCTGTATGTGCCGCCCTACCCAGATATAGAGGCTTCTGCTCTAGGTGCTAGTGAGTCTTCTCTCCCTGGTACTGCGCCTGCTGAGGCCTTGCACACCTTCACGCTTGACTCAGGTGCTTCCAGCTGTTTCTTTCGCGACAGTACCACAGTCACACCACTCCCTGCACCTGTTGCAGTCAGACTGGCTGACCCCTCAGGGGGCC